GCCTTTTGTCTTTAAAACAGAGCTCCTTTGTAAACCTTTAATATATGACCACACCAGGTTATCACAATGTCCACATCGCTCTGCTTCTTTTCACCACATCCACCCTTTCAACTCTGCAGTCCACACCATTTCAAAGAGACTGTTTTCCACAGACAATTAATAATGACTTCTTAGAAAATATGATGGATGGTTTGCAGTTCTTACATTACTTGCCTTCTCAGTAGTATTTAACAACATTGGCCACTCTTAAGGCTATGATTAGAATGTTTGTGTGTATTGATCAAGAAAGGATGCTATACTTTGTCAAATACTTTTTCTGCATCTATTAAGAGGATCAAATCGTTCTTGTTCTTTCTTATATTAATGTATTATATGACATTGATTGATTTGCTGCACCCTTTCTTGATCAAAACTCTTCAGAGTATAGGAATAGAGGGTACATACCTCAATATCATAAAAGCCATCTATGAAAAACCCACAGCGAATATCATTCTCAATGGGGAAAAACTGAGAGCTTTCCCCCCTAAGGTCAGAAACATGGCAGAGATGTCCACTATCTCCACTGCTAATCAATATAATATTAGAAGTGCTAGCCACAGCAATCAGACAACAAAAAGAAATCAAAGGCATCCAAATCGGCAAAAAAGAAGTCAAACTCTCACTGTTTGCAGATGATATGATACTTTATGTGGAAAACCCAAAAGACTCCACTCCAAAACTGCTAGAATTCATACAGGAATTCAGTAAAGTGGCAGGATATAATATCAATGTACAGAAATCAGTGGCATTCCTATACACCAACAACAAGACAGAAGAATGAGAAATTAAGGAGTCGATCCCATTTACAATTGCACCCCAAACCGTAAGATACCTAGGAATAAATCTAACCAAAGAGGCAAAGAATCTGTACTCAGAAAACTATAAAATACTCATGAAAGAGATTGACGAAAACACAAAGAAATGGAAAAACGTTCCATGCTCATGGATTGGAAGAACAAATATTGTGAGGATGTCAATGCTACCTAGAGCAAACTACACATTCAATGCAATCCCCATCAAAATACCATCCACTTTTTTCAGAGAAATGGAACAAATAATCCTAAAATTTGTATGGAACCAGAAGAGACCCCGAATAGCCAGAGGAATGTTGAAAAAGAAAGCAAAGCTGGCAGCATCACGATTCAGGACTTCCAACTGTATTACAAAGCTGTCATCATGTAGACAGTATGGTACTGGCACAAAAACAGACACATAGATCAATGGAACACAATAGAGAGCCCAGAAATGGACCCTCAACTCTACGGTCAACTCATCTTTGACAAAGCAGGAAAGAATGTCCAATGGAAAAAAGACAGTCTCTTCCACAAATGGTGTTGGGAAAATTGGACGGCCACATGCCGAAGAATGAAACTGGACCATTTCCTTACACCACACACAAAAATAGACTCCAAATGGTTGAAAGACCTAAATGTGAGACAGGAGTCCATCCAAATCCTAAAGGAGAACACAGGCAGCAACCACTTCGACCTCAGCCACAGCAACTGCTTCCTAGAAACATCACCAAAGGCAAGGGAAGCAAGGGCAAAAATGAACTACTGGGACTTGATCAAGATCAAAAGCTTTTGCACAGCAAAAGAAACAGTCCACAAAACCAAAAGACAACCGACAGAATGGGAGAAAATATTTGCAAATGACATATCAGATAAAGGGCTAGTATCCAAAATCTATAAAGAACTTATCAAACTCAACACCTAAAGAACAAATGATCCAACCAAGAAATGGGCAGAAGACATGAACAGACATTTTTCCAAAGAAGACATCCAAATGGCCAACAGACACATGAAAAAGTGCTCAACATCGCTCAGCATCAGGGAAATCCAAATCAAAACCTCAATGAGATACCACCTCACACCAGTCAGAACGGCTAAAATTAACAAGTCAGGAAACAACAGATGTTGGAGGGGGATGTGGAGAAAGGGGAACCCTCCTACACTGTGGGTGGGAATGCAAGCTGGTGCAGGCACTCTGAAAAACAGTATGGAGGTTCCTCAAACAGTTGAAAATAGAGCTACCATATGATCCAGCAATTGCACTACTGGGTATTTACCCCAAATATACAAATTTGGGATCCAAAGGGGTACATGCACCCCAATGTTTATAGCAGCAATGTCCACAATAGCCAAACTATGGAAAGAGCCAAGATGTCCATGGACAGATGAATGGATAAAAAAGAGGTGGTATACACACACACACACACACACACACACACACACACACACACACACACACAATGTAATATTATGCAGCCATCAAAAGGGAATGAGATCTTGCCATTTGCAATGACGTGGATGGAACTGGAGGGTGTTATGCTGAGTGAAATAAGACAATCAGAGAAAGACATGTATCATATGACCTCACTGATATGAGGAATTCTTAATCTCAGGAAACAAACTGAGAATTGCAGGAGTGGTGGGGGATGGGAGGGATGGGGTGGCTGGGTGATAGACATTGGGGAGGGTATGTGCTATGGTGAAGACTGTGAATTGTGTAAGACTGCTGAATCACAGAAACAAATAACACATTATATGTTAAAAAAAAAAAAAAGAAGAAGAAGAAAGGAGGGAGAAAAAAAAGGGGTGGAAGTCAGAGGGGGGGGCAAAGCCTAAGAGACTGTAGACTCTGAGAAACAAACTGAGGGTTCTGGAGGGGAGGGGGTGGGGGGATGGGTTAGCCTGGTGATGGGTATTAAAGAGGGCGCGTTCTGCATGGAGCACTGGGTGTCACACGCAAACAATGAATCATGGAACACTACATCAAAAACTAATGATGTAATGTATAGTGATTAACATAACATAATAAAAATAAATAAATAAATAAAAGTAAAAAACAAAAGAATCTGTGTAAATTCATATGTTTAAATCCTAATACCCAATATGATGGTATTAGGAGGTAGGGCCTTTGGGGGTATTAGATCATGAGATTTGAACCGTCTTAAATGGGATTAATATTCCTGTAAAAAAGACTCCACAGACCTCCCTAGCTCTTCTGCCACATAAAATATAATGAGAAGTCTGCAACCAGGAAGCGGGCCCTCACTCACCCATACTGGCACCTTGCTCTCAGACTGCCAGTCTCCAGAACTCTGAGAACAAATGTTTGTTGTTTGTAAGTCACTCAGTCTGTGGAATTTTGCTACACCAGCCCAAACAGATGAAGATGCCCACTATTTAAATTTTTTTCTTCTTCTTTTTTTTTTTTGAGATGTCATGGTCTCCTAATTTTCTTCCCATTCCTCTGGTGTCTCCTTAAATTTACTTTTTCCTCTTTTATTCCTTAATTATCTGGGTTCTTAAGAGTACCACTTGAAGTTCTCTTGTGTTCAAATTTTATACATACTCTCCGAGCAATCTCATCCTCTCCCATGCCTTAAATTAACATAGCTTTACCAAATGTGTATCTTGTCCCAGACATTCTTCATAGGAAATCCATATATCCAACAGTATTCCAAACATCAGCACTTGAATGTTTACAATGATCTTTGAACTTACCTTCTCTCCACAAAACTGCTTTTCCTATAGCACTTCTTATCTCAGTAATGGCATTATACACCAGCTGCCCAAACCAGACACCAGGTAATTTTCCTTCCTCTTTACTGTCCTGACCACTAATAAATCACCAAGTCTTGCAAATTTTATTTCCTCAAATTCCTGAAATACATCTCCCTCCTTTTCCTTGACTTTTGTTTATTGCCAAACCCAGGCCTCCATCACATTTTACCCGAATTACTCCAACAGTTTGATAACTACCTAACCAACTCTATAACAAAGTTGATCTTCTGAAATAAAAATGGAAACAACTGCTTTTCAATTTAAAATCCTTTGAGTTTTCTGGTAACCTCAGGATACATTCCTTCTTCATTCTTTGTTTCAGAGGTACAGGTCTGTGATTCAACAGTCTTACACAATTCACAGACGGGGGGGAATCAGAGGGGGAGACGAACCATGAGAGACTATGGACTCTGAGAAACAAACTGAGGGTTCTAGAGGGGAGGGGGGTGGGGGGATGGGTTAGCCTGGTGATGGGTATTAAAGAGGGCACGTTCTGCATGGAGCACTGGGTGTTATACGCAAACAATGAATCATGGAACACTACATCAAAAACTAATGATGTAATGTATGGTGATTAACATAACATAATAATAACAAAAAAAGGATACATTCCTTCATCAGGGAAATAAAGGCTCTTTCTGCACTTTTTGCACCCCTTTCCAGTTCCAACTTAGTAGTCTCTAGTCTCTTCCAAATTCCCAAGCACCCTACCTTGCTTTCTTTTATATGTACACTATCAAATGTAAACTTTCCAATTATGCACTCTCTGCCTAGCATTCACTTCTCCCTTTACAACCAGATATCTTACACACACACACACACACACACACACACACACACACACACACTCACGGGCCTCCCTCCCTCTCACTGTGCTGGTTAACTTCTACTGATCTTTCATGTCTCAACTTGCATGTGACTTCCCTTGGGAAACCATTCCTTGATTCCTTAGAGGCTCCTCCTAAGTGCTAACCAAGCACGCTGTAATTCTTCCTTTCATAGAGCTTCTTAAATAGCTGTGCTTATTCTAAGTGGTTGTCTTCCAACCAGACTGTCAGCTCAGTGAGGGAGGGTACTGTGTCTTATTCCACCACTCTTATGTTTCTGGTTTCTAGCTCAATTACAGGAATTTGGACACTTAACAAAGCTACTATTTTTTTAAGAAATAGATATACCTTCCCAAATAATTCAGGCTTTTATATGAAAGTCCACAAAAGTCTTCACTTCTTACTGGGGGGTTGGGGTGGGGAAGGACCAAAGTCTTTAAATTGCAGTATCCTACATGACTCCACATGATCTGAACTTCCCATTGTTCACCTTTCTCTTGTTTCAAATCATTTTTCTAGAATTCTTTGTTCATTTTTCCTTGCCTTTACACCAGGCATTGCTTTTATGGTGGGATGTGAATGCCGCCATGCCACTATCAAGACCAAGCGTACCACCCAGTTTGTGGACTGGTGTCCCACAGGTTTCAAGGTTGGCATTAACTACCAGCCCCCCACAGTGGTGCCTGGGGGCGACCTGGCCAAGGTGCAGCGGGCCGTGTGCATGCTAAGCAACACCACAGCCATCGCTGAGGCCTGGGCCCGCCTCGACCACAAGTTTGACCTGATGTATGCCAAACAGGCCCTTGTGCACTGGTACGTGGGCGAGGGCATGGAGGAAGGGGAGTTCTCCGAGGCCCGAGAGGACCTGGCTGCCCTGGAGAAGGATTATGAAGAAGTGGGAACAGAGTCTATGGACGGTGAGGATGAGAGCGAGGAATTCTAGGGGGTCCTGGCATCTGTGACGTCCGCTCTCTCCCTAGTTTTGTATTTCTCATTCCACTGTTTCCCTAACCCCCTACAAATACAGTGTCTCAAGCAAAAAATAAATAAATAAATAAATAACATGCTGTCCTCTCTGACTGGAATGCTGTCCCCATAGATGTCCACATAACTTTCTCTCTCAACAACTTAAGATCTCTCCTCGTATCTCAGCTTCTCACTAAGGTATTTCCCGGCCTATATTTAAAATCTCAACTTGTCCCCACAAAAACCCCATGCAAATATATGCAGTGTCCCTGATTTATTTTCCTCCCTAATAATTATAATCTCTAATTTATTATATTTTGCTTCTGTATGGTATTTATCTTATATATCTTTCTACCTTTTATAAAATGTAAGCTCCATGAAGGTAATGGATTTTGTCTCTTTTTGTTCACTGCTATATTCCCAATGTCTAGAATATGCTTGCCCTTATTGAAAAAATTGATTCAGTAACAATAAAAAAGTGCTCATAAAATAAGTAACAAATTGGTAAAACTTTGAATAAGTAATTATAGGGTAGTTTTAGCTTCTATACAGATATGTTCTTCAATACGTTTAACAATATTAACTTTTAAATACAATTTATGCTATTCATTTGAGTATTTCATGAAACTGTCACAGGCCATGTGCTAGTTTCTACTATTTATCATTTATCATTTTATTTCCATTAGACAGTTTTTTTATGTCTACTTTCTATTATCCATAGATTACACTGAGATACAAGAAATAATTTTTTTCATTGTGGTTTATTTAACATCATGTTAAAATACATTCTTAGTGAGAATCACTACCTGAAACTGATTCATGGTATTGCTGCCCTTATTTTTGAAAATCTGGCTTACCGATACATAATTTCCTCTAGTTAAAATACATTTATGGTTACACAAAAGCAAAAGAAATAATTTAGGCAGATAGTGTATCATGATTTCCCACTTATCTGAAGGTCATCAAATTACTTGTAGTAAAATTAACCATTCATGAATTTGGCTATTTTTAATCTGATTTGACATGATTATAATACGTCTGCTAATGTTGTTAGCAGAATAGAGGCTGACTGGCTTTTTTTTCTTCCTCATAATGAACATATAGAGTTCATCTTTTGCCTGGAAACTGCTATATCCACAGACAATCATGGTGGGGCCAAAGGAGCCTAGTATATTTCACTAGCACAAATTTTGCCCTTTACTCTACAAAAGACAAATAAACAGAGCAATGGGGCTTCCAGGCCTTGTTGAAACATGATTTAGTTGAATAATAGCTTGTTTGAATTCACGTTTATAGCAAATGACACAAAAATTTGACAGCAAAGAACATCCTCATGGCCACTAGCACACACTGTCCTTGAGGAATGATAAGTAATAATGTAGCATTTCAAGGACTGTGAATGTTCTAAAGCATCTGATTTGGTCTAATATGCCATTTAATATGCATTTGAAGTTTGTGGCTCTGGACTCCTTTGACTGCTGCAGCCAGTGCCCCTCTCCTGCCACATCTGTTCAGCTGACGTTGCCATCAACATTCCACCGGAGTCAGTGCAACCTCAGAATAGACTTTTCTTGGTGCAACACAGCAGGCGTGTTCCACCTGACTGCTACCACACATTCATCAAGAGAGGAATGATTAATGATTGCGATCCCAAATGGCTTTAAAAATCTGTTTTAAATAAATCTGTCTTTTACCTGTGGCCCCGGAACCTACAAGCTTATAGCTATTTAATTAACATGCATCAATAGTCCTGAATCTCCATAGGTCCATATGAAATGTACTACTTAAATCTAATATAGTCTACCTCCTTGCTTAGTATTTAAACATATATTTAAAAATCCTCTCCTTAGCCAAAATTGTGCAGTTACAGACATGTGCACAAATGTTAACATTTATAATATAAGAAGTAACTTTGTAGTATCTCGTCTACTTGGCAGACTCTATATAGAAATTCATATTCTTCTGCTCTATTTAGTTACTTATCCTGGAGAAAAATTATGAAATTCAAATTGCTGCACTGTTTTCTTTTCTCTCTAAGTGTGATCCATGGGCCTATTGTATTAAAATCACCCAGGCTACATCATAAAATTGTAGAGTTCTGGACTCCACTCACTATTCACTGATCCCCAGGGTTAGAGTCCAGGAATCAATATTTCTACCTGTGCCAGATTATTTTAAAGTATACAGAAGTTTGAGAAACCTTGGTTTAGAAGTTCTTACTACAGACTTTACATATTTTTCCACCAGATATGTAAGTTTACAATTGTAACTTTTATTTTTGCAATCATTTCAAAGTATAACAAAAGGCCTGTCAAACAAATTGCTCTTTATTTCAGTAAGAAACTATGCAAATATCATTTTGAAGATTCAAGAGAACATTTTACCAATGAAGGAATGTTATCTCATTACCCATACAATGTGGCAAATGTTATTCTTGATGTTTTTATAGACTTCCTTAAGTGTTTTCATTGATTGCAAGTGGTTAGTCGTGTTGATTACTGCTTTAAAATTCCTAGTTTCTCTTGCTCAACTTCATGTGTGCACGTCATTTGAAAATATAGACATGTGTATGCAAGTATGTGCATAAATCTTTTGTGTACATGTATGTAAATAAGAAAGCACACGTGTACATACATATGTGTTGACACCTTTTATATACATACGTGTGCATATGTATGAAAACATACTCATGTGCATTCATACTTACATACATCTGTACAAATGCATGTATAAACATAAATGAAAACATACACAAAGCACACACATATATGCATGCCCTCATATACATATACATGCATGTACACATACATTCGTGACACCCATACTTTGTAGTGGAAACTCTTGAGAATATTATGGAAACCAATGTTTACTTAGTGTTCACATTTTTCTTTCTACAGTAATTTGTAATTCTTCCCTCAAGTCTAGAAAACTTCATAGTGCTGGAAATGTCTGTTTATAACTTCCTCATTCTGTTCTGCTAAGAATTCTAATGACTTTATAAATGATTCCATTTTGAACATGATAACTAATACTCTAGCAAATATATGTACACTAGAAAGAAAATAGGGGCCAAAATAGAATGAAGAAGTGAGTCAGTGAATTGGAGAAATAAACAGAAAAGGCAGTCACAATAATGAACTTCAAAATGTACAGGCTTAAAACGAAAAGCAACAGATTTATGGTGGAGAAAAGCTTAAAAAGAATTCCTTTAAGTGGAAACTTGGAGAATGTGGAATTTAACAATTACACATAACCCTGATTTTTCTTGGAATTAGTTTTCTTTACTTTAGATAATGATTTTTGAAATCTATCATTTTTACAAACAAAAACTACAAAAAAGTCTTGTCGAATCTCTTTTAAGCATATGCTTATTAATTCATTAATAGAAGAACACTTTTTATGAGTATATTGCATTGTGAGTTTATTTTTCTTCCCTCTGCTTTTCTTAACCACATAAACAGGTAAAGAAAAAAATGCCTTCCTATTCCATCAACTCTTGCTTTACTTTGATAAGTACTTGAAAATATTTGAATATATTCCTATAAAAATGTTTGAATTCCTAAAGAGTGTACTGAATTTGGAAGACAAAGGTCAAGATTTATTATTCTTCTATAATATCATAATATGTAAACTTTGGTAAAAAAATTAAGGGTAATACATATTAATTAAACTTTAGTTACTGTATTGAAAAATGCTGCTATTATTTTTGACATTAAAACAAAATCTTTGCCTATTTACATGCAATTTTCTAACTGTACTATTATCTTATTAATAAAAGAAAAATCATGGACATGAAATCTTACAGGAAAATTTTAAAAATAATTAACAAAAATGAAAAGAAAACTGTTAGTATCAAGGATATTTTCAAATCTACCTCACTGCTATAATCTGGACATTTCAGTAATCCAATTTTGACAAAATTAAGACAGTCTAAAAGAAACCTACTCTTGTTAGCTTAGTGACTATTTTAAAATGAGGAGAGTACTCTGTTAAAATTTGCTGTAAATTAAATTTTCACTTCTATTTATTTGTCTTGGTACCTTATATTTTGATATTCAAAGACCCTTCATACATGTAATTTCAGAATTAAATTTCACAAATTTTTTCCCAACTTAGTAGATATTTTTGCTTTGTTTTGTTTTGGTTTTTATTTTATTTATTTACTTACTAACTTCTTGACTGCTTCAGGTAACAATTTGGCCAACAAACCGTAACAGTAACAGAATGCTATTTGGTTAATTTTATTTTGAAGAATCTAGTAGTATCAGGCTATACATTTTCTTCTTTTAATTATATATTCCTATTATTTTTTCATATATTTACCCTACTAAAGGTATTTATTATTTGTTATACAGTATATATACTAACTACTAGGAAGTCATATATTAAGACATTTACATCCAGTAATAAATTTAATCCTCCCAATGGAGAGAATTACATTCCTGGGGAAACTGAGGTTCAGTTAAGTAACTTTTGTCAGGTTATATGGCTACTAACTGAATAGCCAGATTATAAATTGAAGCAGTCTGACTTGAGGGTATTCTGTCATTATCTTTCTTTAAGCTGTCATTTAACATTTCTAACATGATATTTTGAAACAATTTTAGATTTGTAGAAGCTTAGCAAAGATAGTATGGAGAGTTCTCTTATACCTTTCACCTAACTTCCCCTAATTTTAACATCTTACATAACTACTACATAATTATTGAGGCTAAGAAATTAACTTTAGTATAATATTATTAACTAAACCACAAACTTTTTTTTTTCCACTTCACCAGTTTTACCACTAATATCCTTTTTCTATTCTGAAAGCCGATCCAGGATTCCACATTGCATTTAGTTTTCCTATCTTAATCTCCTCCAACAATGAGTTTTCAGTCTGTTCTTATTCTTAATGACCTTAACACTTATAGAGAGTAGTGGCCAAGTATGTTGCAGAATGTCTCTCAATTTGTACATGTCTGATGTTTTCTGTTC